CAGGCCCTGCCATGACGCCAGAAGGGACAGCGGTCCTGATGCAGCTCAGCCACAGCGGTGTGAGCACCACAGTGGGGCTGCCTGGTCAGGAGAATTGACTTGCAAGTTGCAAATTTGGGGGCAGAAGCTTGCTGCAGGATGGCATCGCTGGCTGAGGACAGTGCATGACGGTGCGGTGTGGTGGTGCCGTGCTGCCCGTCGAGCCACTCCCAGCCCCCTACTCACGACCAGGCCAGCATGAGCCCAGCAGCAGGCCTCAGTCCTTGCTCCCCCAAACAGTGCAGAGGAGCTCCAGGGTCTGCTGCATCACCAGGAAGAAGAGTCAAGACCCCAAAAAGAGGCAGGCAGAGCTCATGGCACAGAGACAACCTGCCGCCCCTGTGAGAGGTGTCAGGTAGCAGATCCCCCCAGCCTGCATCTGCCTCCTGTGCCCTGTGCTGGATCTTCTCCCGCAGCATGCCTTCCCTCACCCAGGGTGATGGACCAGCACTCACCGTGATACATGGGGCTATTACACTGAACACTGAGGTATTAAATATTGAGCGGCAGTTAAATGCTCATTAGATAGATTTAAACAGTGAGACCCAAAGAGCCATTAAATATGCAGTGTGTAGGATGGGGGATCTGATGATTGACTGCAGCACCATCTCCTCTGCACCGAGCTGCTGCAACCTCCCCAGCCCATCCAAAGTCTCTCAGCTGTAGATGGGCTCTGTGTCTACTCCATCTTCTGACATGTTATCTCATAACAACCTCTCACAGCTGCAAGAGGTGGAGGGGAGATGTGCTCTGGGAGCCGGCAGGGTTTGGGAGAGCAGCTCAGAGCAGCGGAGGAAGGAGCACAGCTGCAGCACAGGGTGGCCCCACAGCAAGCGAGTCTCCTGGCATGCGCTGGCCTCGTGGCAGCCAGCACACCAGCCTCAGAAGCACTGCTGGAGCACTGCAGAAGCTGCAGGACTGCGCGGGGCCAGAGCAAAAGCTGAGCTCTCCCTGTGGAGCCAGGAAGTCCCGGGGACACAGCATGGCACAGGGGACCCTTTAGGCTCCAGGGCAACCTGCAAGCTTCCCTCTTTTGCTCTGCCCTTAGGCACATGCTGCCTTCCCTCCTCCCAGTGTCCCCAGTGCATTCAGCCCAGCAGATGCCCAGCACTGCACGGACATGCTGCCCTCGCCCCAGAGCCACGGGCTCAGTGCAGCTCCAAGCACCACCTGCCCCAGCCCCAGGCAGTGATGCAGAAGGCTTCAAGGACTCCTCTTGTGCCGCCCTGGTGCTGCCTGAGGCCTTAGGCATCCTGGAGCCGCTGCAGGATCCGCTGCCCGGGGCCCAGCTCCCTGCCTGCCCCCGCAGAGCAGCCAGCGTCCAGCAGCACCCAGCCCTGCTCTGGGGGGACGCGTGGTCTGGTTGTGGGGCGGCTGTGGGTCTGGCTACGGATGGAGGGGCATCCACGGGCTCTGGAGAGGGAGGTGAGCAAAGGAGGGATGTGGGGCTGCCAAGGGCAGCTTCTTCCCCTGTAAGACTTTTCCTCTAACCCTACTGCCCTTCAGCCAGGCTCTTCTGTCATCTCCAGAGCTTTCTGTCTGCCCTGCTTCCTAACCCCATTCCTCTCCTCCCCTCTTGGCACCTTGGATCACCCCACCTGTTTCCTCCTGCAGCACAAAACTGCACTCAGCTCCATTTAGGGAAAAGACCAATTTCCCGTGTCACTTTGGCACATGGGCTGGTGCAGAGCTTCCTGCCCTGCTCCCAGCAGGATGCATGGGGTGGCACGGGCTGGTGCAGAGCCTCCACAGTTGGGGACGTGGCTGGAGCCTCCTGCCCTGCTCCCAGCGGGATGCACAGGGCAGCGCTGGCTGGTGCAGATCCCCTGCGGCTGCGGATGCAGCTGAGGCCTCCTGCCCCCCTCCCGGCGGGATGCACGGGGCAGCGCTGGCTGGTGCAGAGCCACAGCCCCATGGCTGGGGGGTGTCTGCGGAGTGCAGCCCTCCTCAGCACAGCCAGCCTCCGGCGGCCCCACAGAATCACAGAATCACAGAATTGTTTAGGTTGGATGGGACCTCTGGAGATCATCTAGTCCAACCTCCCTGTTCAAGCAGGGTCACCTAGAGCATATTGCCCAGGATCACATCCAGATGACACATGCACCTGCGCACAGCCAGGGCAGCTGTGGGGGCGTGCTGTGCACTCGGGGCAGCAGAGGGCAGGGGGTGCCGGATCGTCCCCACTGCAGCCGGCCTCCGCCGACCCTCACTGCACCCCGCTGACCCCAGGCATAGCGCCCCATGGAGCCAGCAGTTGCGGCCAGCCTGGAGCCAGGGAGACAGTGAAGGAAGCTGCCAGAGTGCCGGGAGCACCAGCTCTGAGCCCTGTCCATGCTCCGTCTCATGGTCTCCCTCGGGCACCCTGGCCCTCGCCCCGCATCCGGGTCCATGTTTGCATCACCTGGGAAGCCTCTGAGCTGACCCCTATGGAGAAATCCCCCCTCGAAGGCCCATGCAGCCAAATGCCTCATCCCAGGTGTCCCCGCAGGGCGAGCGGTGCCCGGCGGATGGCTCTCGCGTGTGCCAGGGCTGGCGCAGGGAAGTGGTCAGCAACGCAGGACGCACGAGGCTGCCGCGGTGGGAGCAGCTCCCCAGTCCGCACGGGGGATGGCGGGAAGGCAGGTCCAGATGCCGGGGGCGAGGGGGAGTGCAGACGCGGACACCCCGGGCAGCACCCACCCACACCTCCCAGCTGGGACGCATGGACTGACCCGGCTGGGAGACGGGCTTTCTCTTGCGTTCAAACAGAAACACTCCCTAAACTCGTTTCACTTTAACCTTTCATTTTCGGGTTGTTGGGTGGGATGACAACCCTGGCAAAGTGGGAATCCAGCCTCTCTGGGGAGCCCTGCACCCGGACGGGAGGTGGACATCCAGCAGCAGGTGCTGGAGGGGTCGGCAAGCAGCTCTGTGAGAGCTTCCACAAAAAAAAACCCCTCCTGCAGGGAGCAGGCATTCTCTGGTTAGCTGACGACGCCTGGCACAGACCTGCCCCTCCACCCAGCGCCCCCCCGCCACAGCCCCGTCCCGGCTGCCCACCTCGCTCTGCAGCTGAGGGTAGCTCCAGCCAGCCCAGCGCCTGCTCGGCATAGCGCTGCAGACCCAGGCGTCAGCTGGGGCAGGGACCGGCTCCCCACGCAGCTCGTTAATGGACACAGCTATGGGACAGGTGCCGATGGCAGGGAACGACGCAGGGGACGGGCAGGATGGGACAGTCCCTTTCAGCACTGTACTTCCCTGCTCAGCTGAGCAAGGCGCTCCATGACTCCTGGTGTCACTCATGCTTGCAGTGGGATATGATCCTTCAGAGATTTTTCCCAGCCCTGGGGCAAGCTCCATTGCAGACTATGGAGCTGCTGCTCTGCGAGCAGGGTGCATGCAGAGGCAGATGCACTGTCCTGGGACACAGCTTGTTCTGTATGACCACCCACCCAGCAGCATCCTCTGCGACACATAGCATCGCTGCTGTCCCCTGGCACCCAGCCTACAGCTTAAGCTTGCAGACGGCAAGAAGCAGATATGGCTGTGGAAAATAATGTCAGGAACAGGATGCGAGCAAACCCTGCAGGAGACTCCAGCTGGCATGTGAGGGGTGGCACTGGGCTGTGGAGGGACAGCCCAGACCCATCTGCTGCCTGGAAGCTGCAGGATATCTGCCCAGAACCACCCCCAGCCTGAGAACAGCGAGGCCTTCTGCTGGGGCAATCCCTGCCATAGCAAATCCTACCTCCCCGGCAGTGCCTCAGTCTGGGACCAGGCCTCCCCCCATTAGGAGGAAGCAGCAACTCCGACCCTTCTCCTGGAAGGGAGCCAGACTCTCTCCTGCACTTCAGCCCTCTTTCTGTGCCCCCTGCGGATTAATTCTTCCACACCTGCATCATCACCCTGGTGTGGTGCTGCATCCCTGCTACTCAGGCAGCCACCATCCACATGCCCTGGTCCTGCAGGGGCCACGGGCAGGCCAGGCAGGGGCTGCCTGTGCTGCCAGCACATTGGGCTCCACTCTGGGAACACCGCAAGCTTCATGCTTATCTCCAGGGTCTGGCCCCATGGGTACAGAGTACTCCAGTTGTTCATAGCTCTGCTTGGGTGTTTTGCAGTGCTCTGCACAACCATCAGGCCAAAGCAACAATTACAAGCCCTGCAAGCACCCAGAGCTAGCAAGTGTCCCTGGGACCCCCACTTCACAGCACCCACCTCTCTACCAGGTGCAAACACCCCTGCACCCCCTTCACCACCCCACAGCATCCTCCCCTGGCTGCTCTGCCCTGGTGACAAGAGACCTCTAGATCCTCAGAGACAGGCCGCAGTGACCACAGAGCAGAAGCTGGGCAGTTATGCAGGAAGTTCGCAAATGCTCTTTTTAAGAAATATGTCCCTCCATGGAGCTGCGCTCAGCGGCAGTGCCACACGGATGCTGCTGCTGGGGGTAGAGAGGGGAACAGGACCTGCCCTTGGGGCAGCACCCACCCTACCGCTCTGCCCAGCAGACCTTGTCCCCACAGTTTGCAACCCTCCAATTCCAGGCCTAGAATTTCCCCTACTGGCTCAGCCCTTCTCACCCCTTGGCACCAGGCAGCCTCAGGGGCATGCTCCCTCCCCTTGGCACCAAGTAGCGTCCTGCAAATGCCACCCATGCCATCAATGTGGTGTGGGCGAGTCCCAGCTACCATGGGAGCAGCAGAGCTGGCTCAGCAGCAGCTTTGTGCAGAGCGGGGCACAGGCAGGGGATAAAACAGCTCTCTGTATGGGAGCAGCTGCAGGGCCCAGCTCCCAGTCTCTGCAGGTTGAGGACGAGGGTGGAGGACAAGGAAGATGCCAAGAACACTGCTCCCATCAGTGAGGGTGCAACCTGAGTGCCTAAAGTTGCCCCCACTGTATGCACAGAATAGGTGCTAAGCCCTCACCTCACATCTACCCAAGGGCCTTCCTCTCCACTACATAGTTCCATCCACCCACCCTCACTGCAGAGCACCCTCCATCTCTCTCACCCCTGCTCTGTGTTCTCATTAGCAGCCACAAACACTGGAAAACAGGATTCTTGAAATCAGGGACATCCAGTGCTCCTTTATTGGTCATGCTGCACTGGAGAGGCTGTTGGCGCTGAATGAGACAGATCCTGCAGGCAGCCTCGTGCAGTTTTCACCCTCTGCTCTGTGCTCAGCCCTGGCTCCCACCTTGCAGCCCTGGTGCCCCTGCTAGCCTAGCCTTGGGCTGCCCACGCAGGCCTTGCCCTGCATAGTTCTGATAAACGGACCAACACGAAAGGAAACTGGTTTGAGGGTTTTACTGGTCTCCATGTTCCAGAAGAGAACAGTGCTCATTAAAAATGGTGAAGTAGCACGATTATCTGAGATCAAAGTTCTGAACTCAAATTTCCTAGTGTTTTGGTTTCTCTGCAAAACTCAGGGTTGCAGCAGCTCTAGCTATCACGATTTGCATGCATTTGATTAGCTCCCATCTACCAGCCCTGGACTGCTCCTTGCAACAGGAGACGCTTTGTGTACACGCAGCGGGAGGCGTCATGTGTGGAGCCAGAATCAGCAGAAGGAAATGAGTATCCCAGAACAAATAGGGCGAGGGGGCCAGGATCACATACAGGATCCATCCAGATGCTCGGGGACCACCAGGTCACCCACTGCCCTGCCATGACCCCAAGTGCAGGAGGGCTCCCAGCCCGGCCCCTTGGGTGCCCTGTCCTCCCTGTGGCACCCAGGAAGACAGAAAGCCCTCAGGCTGGTGCCCACAGTGGGGGCAGCCACAGTACACAGTCCGGGTGCACAGTGCCAGTACTGGTGTGCAGTGCCAGTGAGCAGTGCCAGTGCACAATGCTGGTGAGCAATGTTGATGCCAGTGCACGATGCTGGTGCCAGTGTACAAAGCCGGTGAGTGATGCTGATGCCAGTGCCAATGTGTGATGCCAGTGAGTGATGCCGGTGCATGGTGCAGGTCAGTGGTGCTGATGCACGATGCCGGTGGGTGATACCGACACCGGTGCCGGTGCCGGTGTGCAATGCCAGCGTGCGGTGCCCACGCGGGATGCCGGTGCCCGATTCCACTGGGAGGCGGTGGGGCGGCGGCGCCCCCTGGCGGCGGCGGGGGGACACGGCACACACCCCACGCAGTCGGCGTGCCCAGAGTCTTCACACACGGTCCATACGCACACACGCAGCAGACAGCATGCACAGAGTCCTTGCAAACACATAGTCTGCACACACGCGTGCACACACATGCAGCCTGTCTGCATATGCACAGAATGAACACGCACACTTCACGCACTCACAGAGTGAATACAGACATAACGTCCACACTCACAAACTTGCCCGCCCACCTGAACACGGGATGCATACAAGCAATGTGCACTGAAACAGTGCATATACGTAGAGTGCACTTGTGCACAGAGCACACCCACACACTGTGACTGCATAAACATCATGTGCACATGCAGAGAGAACCCCCCCCACTTGCGAGCCTGCATACAGTACACACGCATACACACACACACACACACAGTGTGTGCACCCACAAACACAGCCATATGGTGTGCACCACCCAGCTGTGCTGGACTCATCCTGCTTTCAGATCACTGCTTGTCCGCCACTGCTGTAAACCAGTCTGGCTCTTCCACACCTATCAAATGTGCACGCTCTCTGTAGTAGCTGTGTTCCTTGGGGAATGTGTTTTGGAAAAGACCAGGGGGCCAGCAGCTGCAGGGAGCAGAGTGGCATTCCACTTCCCAAGTGGGTAACAAAGTCACACTATGTTTTCTCCTGCTAGCCATAAACAGAGGCCGTGCTGGGAGCTGGGCACTGCTGCCTGCCCAGAGCTGCACACCCTCATCCCGCGAGCCGTGTTCTGCAGGGGCTCGCTCTGGACGTCCCATCCCAGCACCCACAGCTGCTGCCTCCGCTCCCGCTCACAACCCCCTGCGCTGGCCCTGCTGCTGGCACGGACCACACCGTGACGACCCAGCGCTCCGGAACCGGCACCTCTGTGACATCGGCCTCAGCGCCACGGCACCGGGCCAACACGGACACTGCAGGCACCGTGCTCGGCAGCCCT